CCGCGCGCGCGCATGTAAGCACTTTCAGGATTTTCTGGTGCAGGGTTGAGGGCTTTCGGTACGGAGGGCCTGGAAGTTTTAGGGCCTAGCTGGGAGTTGATGATTTATAGACTTTGTCACGCACGATGTTGGGGCTCTGTGCATTGAACTGAGGCCCTTTGCTGAGTAGATCTGAGGGGGAAGCGCAAGGCAGCGTTCTTGTAAGGGAGTGTATTGTGACTTAGGACAGCAGATCACCTACTGGATAATCGGTTTGGCGTTGCACGCCGTGGCGTGAGATCCCTGCTATGGTCGCTTCAAACACAAAACTAGGGCAGCTCATGCTAGGTTAACGTATATCATAATATGGTAATGTATGATACTACTAGTATCACATATTTCTATATCTCGATATAAAGCTAACATATAGGTTTTAGAGCAAGATCCTTCATAGCCCGGAAAGTTTCTCTCCCAAGGCCAAGCCTGAGATCATGGAACCTCCCAGGCCAGCTCTAGCTTGACCTCCTGGGCAAATACGGTTTAGGGTTTTAGAGTTTTAGGGTTTAGGGTTTTAGGGTTTAGGGTCTTGGGGCTTTGGGGGATATTGGGGAATACAGCGAGGTCTTCAAAAGAGGTCATAGAGGGTTTTACACGGCTTTGTAAGGGCTTAGGAGCACTTGGTCATCATGTCGCTGTTGTTGTCCTGTAACCCGTAAACATAATATGCCCCATGAGACTGTTCCAAACATTTACATTTACGTCGTGGGTTTGGGGCTATGGGCAATCGTAAAGTCAGCGTCGCCAACCTGTACCTTGTTCTGGTACATGTGCAGTAGGGTGCAGAAACGGTTTGCTGGTCAATGTAAAAAGCGCTCTACATGAATACCGGTGAATGCATGCGTGAAGTTGGTTTAAGGGGAGGCGGACAATGACAAGTTGTCTTCTCAATGCATAGCCACTTAGTGAGGAGAAACCCTTCGAAGTTACAGATGTATAGTCCTCTGTATGTTTGAGTCTGAGTGCTGAGTTGTGGAAGTTTTGGGAGTGACGGCTGAGGGTGTGCCTTCTTTGTGGCAGTTTCTACACATTGTACTCTCAACCGTTGGCAACAAGCACGAAGAGACCAAATAGAAGACGTGCAAATCGCGGTCAGCATCCATCTGTCTAGGATGGTTCTGATCACACCGATGCTAGTGGCATGTGCCACAAATCGCAAGTCCACGCCTAGCGTTCCTGCCCGTCTGCGCCAGCATAAAAAGCTGGAGCCTAAACCCACCCATCCCATCGCATGTGGTTCACAAAGCAGGCGACACCCGCATATCTTAAGCTAACCTCCCAGCAAGGGGGTGGCAAATTGTTACGACTCCACGCTGATTCTGCGAGGGTACGCAAGAAAGGACGCTTTTCTAAACATTGTCGATACTTGCTGTAGCAGAGGATGATGGGGACGGTGTGCCCAGTGAGTGCCCGAACACCACTCCTCCTCCTCGAACATCAACGAAATCTGCACATGGCTCTCGAGCGACGAAAACGGCGGCACCAACAACGCAGCCCTCTTAATGCCTGCAGGCTAGGCGATGTCGATCCAGATGCTCCACTGGTGCAAAGCCCGAAGGAGGCCGGAGTTCGAGCATTGGCTTTCTCGTTGTACGCTCAGGAGGTCATCTTCGTCACGTCCATCCTGTCACTGTTGCACGGAAATAAATCGAACTCGGCAAGTCCTTTGTGGACTCTGGCAAGCACTCCGGCACAGGCCGTCGAGCGACGCCAGTACGGCTCCACAGTCCCGACCTCACACAACAGGGGTGAGGGCTTTCAGGGAGTGCTGGCGTGAAAAGATAAGAAGCAACCGCGGTTCGTACCTTCGGAAATTGACCGGCAGATAGGCTTCCGAGTCGAAGCAAAGATGGCATGCTCCTTGTAGGCAAGCTCCTCTATAAGACAAATTTGGAGGTGGCATTGGCTTTGCAAGGTGAGATTTGCGTGCCCTGAAACATCCTCGGCTGAAGAACCTTCAACCTGTAGCCAAAAAGTATGCCTGGTTAAAGAAAGTGCCACATGTTGGCCAGTTTGATGCATCCAGCTGCAGGACAGCGCTTTCGCAAGACAGCGCGGAGCCTGGATTCAGGGAGCATGCATTTATCGCTGCAGTCGGCAACAAAGCTGAGACAGTGCTTTTTTGACGAAAGAACAAAAGCACTCGACAAAAACTATAGCAGTAGCACGTAAATGAGTAGACTGTATCACCTTTGTCAGCAGGTCAGATGATTTTGGACCGAGAGTAGTACCAGCTTTGGGTGCTGTGGATGTGTGTTTTCTCGCGGGTGGCGCGGATACCTTCAAGCTTCTCCTTGTTACTCATACCATCACGAATGTTACGATTGCTGTTTCGTTTGTTTTGTTATTGTTATTCTGAATGTGACAACTATTCTTGTTCTCTCCTTTGCACGCTTCGACCTGTCCACGGCCAGGCTACAGGAGGAGTTTAATCAAGAGGTCGCTGCGAAGGAGACGCGATCAGAGCTCCGATGGCTTCGACAGTTTGGCTTGGTTTAATTGTTTTTTGTTGATACCGGAGATAGTTCGTGCTGTGGCGGCAGAGTCCGCTGTGTTCTTCATTGCTGTTCACCGTGATTGGTATCTGTAGCTGTTGGGTTGCTGTGGCCGCATAGTAGTCCACGCCGTAGAAGCCCAAAAGACAGTCCAGGAGCACGTCAGAGCCGCCCCTTGATGAATTTCTAGAAGGGTGGTTGTCAGAATTGGGGTCACTTTATTATTATATTATTATTATTATATTATTATTACGAATAATGCCACTACTACTCTTAACAGTACGCCTACTACTGCAAGTTACAACGAGTGGCAGAGCCAGGAGGCAAAGGAGCGGTTCGAGTGCCCGCTTTGCTTCGACGAGGTTACGCTCTGCGAGGGCGTCTCCCGGCTGAAGACTAATGTAATGTAGAGGCCTCAACAGACTTCCCTTTACAAAGAGGTTCTGCTCGGGTTTTGAATAGAGGCCTCAAAACTTACCTATTGTTTTGCCTCAGGGTCCTTGTTACAACTGAATTCACACGCACCCGCCAAACCCTCTTGTAATCAGTAAGGCCCTATGTTCATCAACCACAGTCCCTGAGCCCCTTGTGTCCTTCTAAACGAGGGGTCTTTGGAGGTCAAAGTTCCAGAATCCGGGTCTCGACCCGAGGTCGGCATCAGAGACGAGGTGTTGCGCTGCGCAGACCCGGACAAACAAACCCAACTGTTTGGCCATTACCTTAAGCCGAAATCCCAAGTGGCCCAAGCCCAAAACCCTAAACTCCAAACCTTGAATACCACAACCTGAACCCAAAGAGCTCTGCAAAGGTCAGCTTGGACTGCCGGGGGCCCGGCCGTTCCATGCCTTTGCAGGACAAAAACTAGGTTCCTGGGTAGTGCCCTTTTGTAGTTTTCTGTTTTAGGGTCCCCTTATTGAATAAATCCGAATAGTAAGGAAAACGGTACCCTCATGATAATGGGCTTACTCAGGAACCTAGGAAAGGTCCTCCAAAGTGCCAGAGCAGCTGAGGCAACCATCGCCTTTGCAACGAATGCTTCCGAAACTTCCTCGAGGCGCCTCCTCCTTTAAGGGAGTTTCCGAAACTTATGGGTACCGTAGGTTCCTTTAAAGGGTTACTATACAGGTTCCTTTAAAGGGCTCTATAAGGGTGTAGAGTTTCCGAAACTTGGGGGGTACTGGTACCTAAAGTTGGGGTCCTTATAATAAGGATCCTACTATTTAGGGTGCTTTATTCTGATCCCTTTGGGGCTCAAGGCTTCTTGAGAGCAGTTCTGGAATGTGATTGCTGGACTGTCAGAGCTGGTCATGCGGTGTCTGGTTTGCACCGAGACTTGCGGAATATAGCTGGAGATGGGGAGGTGAAAAAGCAGGCTTGCTAGCTCACGGCGAGTAATGAGGTACTGATCCCTTAGGCTGAAGAAGCATCCTTACACAGAGCGCAGTACTCGTGCATGCGTGTATAGAAAAGGGCGAGCTGCTAGGCAAGAGCTTTCATACGGACCTGAGTAATCAGAAGTTATTTTCCTGAATGTTCATCCTTAAATCCCAGTCTACTTATGCTACATTGCGTTCGGGCTCCAGTTTCCTGTGTTTTGGTATCTACGTGTTTCTTGTGTAACTCAGTAAACCATGGTTCGGGTAGCGAAGGCCTCAAAAGGAGCCGAGGAGGCCCAACACCTGCAGAAGGCGTTGCTTAAACGGGCCTCATTTTTCAGCTGCGGGTTACCTTGTATGAGGACGACAAGACCAGTCGGAATGCGGAGAAGCTTTCTCAAATCTGCCTAAATACAAAAAGGACTTCCAATCACAATCCCGCTGTCGATCGACAGGTGCAGATCAGAGAGAAATGCGTGTCCGAGCAGGTGCAACTGCTGAAAACGTTTTGTGAGACTTGGGATTCAGTGCCTGCATGTGTAGGCTCTTGGATCTCGAATTGGTGCAGTTCCTTCGTGAACACTCAGGAACGAAGGTTTAGGGTCAAGTTCAAGGCAAGTGAATCTTCCTCCGCAGAACGCAAGAACAGTGCAGAGGCTCACCTTGATTTCAGGCGACGCGAAACCTCAGCCCAACGGGATTTGCGATAAGACTTACAGATGGAAAGTGCAAATGGACCCCTGAAAGACTGCGCCCTTTGGCCTCTGGAGGTTTTTAGAGTGTGGAGTAGTGGCACTCCGACCCCGACACTTTCAAAGCTCAAAGCTTCTTCACAGAGCACGTTCTGTCGCAAAGCTGCTTTTTAGAGCTGAATGTGAGGGTTCAACTGCTGTGTTTCTTGCTGCAGTGGCTATGCAGTGTTTGTTATCATGAAACACTGGCACTTCGATGACGCGGCAACTGTCGCCGCAGCAGTAGTCGTAGTCGCATCGTAGTCGCAATACTAGTTCTAGTCGTCGTCACCGCGTCGTAGTGGCAGCAGCAGCAGCTAGCACTAGCAGCTGCAGCGGTTTCAGAGGAGCTCCATTGCCCAATGCCGAAGTGCTCTTGCCCTGTGAGCGACCATCAGGCGCAAAGGGGCGGGGATGGATTGCGGCTATCCGGATGCCATGTTGAAGAAGACCACTATCACTATCTTAAGCCGTATACTATGTAGGTCGGTTTGCCTCTTTGGGATGTCAAGTTCATGGGTGCTATAAAGACCCAGGGAACAGCTTTCAACGGCTCGAAAGACACATGGAAGGCTTGCACGCACACACCAAACCGTAGCCCCAAATGCTCCCGCACGCAGACTGCGACTTGCGGGGTTCGCACAGTTAAGTTGTTGTGAACACAGGGTGTGGACCTTATGTGGGGCATTGCAGGATTTCGCTTACAACAGTCCGTGCTCTGCTTGCTTTGCGTGTCTCCCTGCCGATGCCGTTCAGCGGCGTAAGCGAAAAGTCAGTACGAGCTGCGTTGCATTTGTCTGCGAGTCACACTGAAGCGTTTCGGGGTGGTTCTCTACGGCGGCGGCAGACAGTAGTCCGCGATGATTTTTTGCGGTAACAAAAACTGATGCCGCCACTCCAGCCTGTGAAACTTCCGAATGCCAGCAAGCGTCCCAATTACAGTCGTGACTGATCCCATATAGGCGCAAGCGATGTGAGGGCATGTTGTACGGCTTTGAGCTTGGAAGTGTCCAAAACCTGTGTTTGCATCGCTTTCACAAGTGCGGAGCATCGGGCCATGGCGATGCTGATTGCAAAGTGCGAATCGGTGGTGTCGTGTTTCAGGAAAAATCGATGCGGCTAGCGTAGCCATTCGCTTCCTGTACATGGTCCTGGGAAGGGCACGTGGCGGCGGGTGGCCTCGCCAGCCCGCGTGGGGCGGGTGTTGGCGGGTGGTGAATGCCGAATGACTCGCAGCTCCCAGTGTCATTGATTTACTAGTTTTCCATATTCAAGTTGGACGAGTCATCATTCCCGGCTGAGTTGCTCCGAAGGGTGCAAATTTTCAAGATGTAATTTGCTCTTGGGAGGTGCTCGGGCAGGCACCTTTGTCCCATTGCGGGTGTACGAGCACGAGATCCATTGAAAATAACGGGTGTCGGGGCCACCTGCAACTTGTTGCATGTGACGAAGCCTGTCAGCGAAGCCTTGGAATGAAATACAAGTTGCAATCGCGTTGGACTGCCCCAACCGCCTTTTCTTGTGTGTCTGCCCAAAGGGAGGGTGCAGATCACATGCTGCTGCTGGTATGCAGCAACACTATTTGTGTCTCTGCGCTTGGGGACTTCGCTGGAGAATGCTTGGTTGGAACTTTAGACCTGTGCACACCACATGAGCTTGAACTTAGCAAGGGCTCATTTTCAGGAAGCTACGTTCTTCGGAGTTTATGACCGGAACACCCTCAAAACCTGACTAAACAATGCCTTTCCGGACACTCAAAAATACTGAAACCCTTAAAGTGTTGAATCCGTGAAGCCTTAAGTCCTTATAAACCCACAAAGATTTCCGAAACCTTTATGACACCCTCACTATAAGATCCCTTGAAAGCAAACTCGAACCGGAATCCTAAACCCCAAATCCGTAGATCCCATATGGAATCCTAGACGGGAAAACTACTACCTAATGCTTCTTCACCCCGGAAAAGCCCAGAGGTGCGCGGTGCCGTCGAAGGCAGCGACCTTTGGACCCGTTTCCTGGAAACACGCGCAGAGCTCTACAGGACGGGAAAAACAGGATGTTTTTTGCAGAAGCTTTACAAAAAGGGATGTTATGGGGATTTGTATGTATGCAGTGGGCTCGGGGATGCTACCAGGCTTTACACAAGGGTTTTATCCCCCAAACACCACGGTAACTACAGGGTTGATGCAGTCAGTGCAAAGAGGAGTTCTTGCTGGATCTGCTAAGTGCATGCAGCGGCGGCCGCACGCGCAGTGCAATTTTGCGGGTGATATCGCGTTCTTTCCACGGTTCCGTCAGTGCCTGCTTGTGACATGCTCGCTGTCGGTAAATTCCTAGCAAGTTAACTCGCCCCCTTGGCACTGCCTGGTGTGGTCGGGAGATCCTGTCGTTCTCAGGTGTTTCGGAATCTCGCGACATTCGATCCATCTACTTTAGGGGGCTCATGGCATTGGCCACAGCCCCGCGTGTGTCCGCCTCACGATGTCGTGCTCCTGCCAGAGCGCCGCGCCTCTGTTGGTTGCGACTCATGATTGTGTGTCGCAGCAGCGATTCCCGAAGCAGTGTGGTGCGCGTCGTTCTGAACAAGGGCAGGCACAACTACAACCTGTGCTGTTTGGTTCTGAGCCTCGAAGCCACAAGTGTACAAGTTAAGACGCAGGACACGAGGCTTTCATTTCAGTGGCCATACTTCGCAGCTGCATAGACACCGTAACCGCTAACACCGAACTCCCAAAGCGCCAAACCCAGAAACCGCGGCTGGCCAGGCCGGACTGCCCCAATGAGCGCAAGTGCGCGTGCCCCTGTGGTGAGGCTCGCGATGCAGGGGCTCCAGAATCGGGTGCATAGTGATTTACCCAGACCTTGTATTGAAAAAGCAGAACACCCAAAGGAGCTGCCAGGTCATTATGTGAATTGGGCTGGGTCTTAGGTTCATGACCAGCACCTTGATGGTAACGCATTGTTACATCACTGCAGTAAGGCTGTTGCTGCTTTCAAGTTCTGGTTCTACCGGACTTGGTGTAGCCGCCCCAACCAAGTTCTCGGGCAAATCTGCACTGGGCTCGCCTTGATTTCGAAAGTGCAGCACAAGTGAGGCCTTTTGTCCTGAAGAGCATTGTTTTGCAGAGATCATGGTTTAGTGTGCCTGCAACAAGACACTGCGGTAGTATAAGCAGCTTCTGCCGTCAACGAAGAGTTCCGAATACTGCTGAATATTGAATCCTGATGGTTTGGGCCTACGTATACCTTCAGGGTCGTTCCTGTGCTGCCTGTGAAGCCGCATAGCGTGGCCAAACGATATGCAAGTTTATGATGAGTCGTGTAGATGAGGCTCATTCCCTCTGGCTCAGAAGGCGAGGTCCTGACACTATAATATGCTATGCTATGCTATACTATAGTGTTACCATCTTCCACTGTACTATACTATACTATACTGCCCTATACTATGATGCCTGCGCTTGTGGGGTGGAACGTGGGGTCGAGACAGGTGATCATCGTCGAAACAGTGGCGGCCTCAGCTGTTGCCACGGCGCTGGTGGCTTCCCAAGTCGTCCGCTACGGAGCTGCCGGAAAACAAGGATATGATATGCTTAAGAGCGAGAAGAGTAGCCTCATGGCATGTTTCGGGCCCTGGTAGAAGGAGCACATTTTCGCTGAAGAGTGTTCAGATCGAGGTCCATTCAACTGAAAATCGGACCTCTGCCTTTGTGCACATTCCGAGTCTCGCCGTTCGTCTGTCCACATCTATCTGTAGGCTACCTGTCGCCGAAAAGGTCACAGAACCTGCCATTTTGTCGTCCTCGCGAAGGCAACTGTCCTTTAGCCTTGCAGAATTGAGGATATGGGTTTTTCTGGGCTTTCTGAAATCAGGTCGAGGACGAAGGCTTCGTCACATGCCCTTCCTGCAAGGAGAAGGCAGGAGTCTGTGATTTGAGTGGTTGTCGAAATTGGGGTCCCTTTGTGGGTCCTTATTGCAGTACGGCACCTAATACTTAGGGTTAAGGGACCCTAATTTTGACAACTACTCATTTGGAAACAATGGTGAAAGGGAAACAGGAACTCTGCAACAACGACCATTAATACCCCATTGCACAGAGGGCCAACATAGTAGCAAGCACCCCCACCAACTCAATCACCCTGGATACCAAAGCTTTGGCTGCCATTGCTCCTCCCCCTATTCCATCCGCTACAGCTACCAACACCGCCAGCAGTGTCAAAGCAGACTAAAGCGCTCCATGCCGGTTAATTATCCTAGGCACCCTACAACCTGCAAACTACAGCGTTTACATATGACAAAGCGCATGGAAGCCAGAGCTGGGGGCTCCCGAGCCTGGCAGGTCTGCTTCAAATGCCAAGAGAGGCACGAAGGCTCCAGTTGCGCAGCATACTGGCAGTGGCGGAAGGACCCGAACCCCTCATTGGGCCCTTAGCCTTTGGAGCTTTAGGGCTGCAGGGTTCGTGCGTCTAAGGACTCATCTTTGGGATGGTTCGGACTTGTTCTCATCGCTAGTTATGCTCGTCGCAAACAGCGACTGCGAACAACATGGTTACACAACCGCACGCATACGCGGTCCTCTCGCTGTCGTGGCTACCTCTCAACAAGGTCTGACAGGTTTTGTCCATTTCACAGCAAAAGGGCCGCCTGGGAGGGCTGCGACAACCTTCGTACAGGGGTATTCCTCGCTGTTCCCATGTTGACTTTCAATCATACAAGGCGGCGAGGTTGCGCTGTTACCACAGGTCACTGTGTCGGCCCTCTCTGTCTCGCGCGCGCGCGCGTGTCTTAGGAAAGATTGCGTGTTTCCGTGCACAGCTGTCCAGCAGTTTGATCTTGTGTGGGTGGTTCGGGTTGAGCTGCTAATCGACAGCTGCTGCAGCCAGTTGTCTTGCTTTCGTTTCTGCAGTTGGGATGTCGCTGGCACCGCCTGCCTTGGTTAAATTCCGGAAGCTTGACATCCAGCACCAGGCGAGGCTTTTTCTTGGCTTTGTGCCACCGTCGAGCTCGATGACTTGGACGTGCATGCAGGGATTGGCTGGGCGTCCAGAGTCTAGGCCCCTTCGCGTCCTTTGGTGAGGCTTCGCTTTTCCGGAGGTCTGCGGCGAGTGCTGGGGGCAACTCTGGGCCGACTCTAGGCCCGGCTGTGGTTGGAGCGAGAATTCACCCTGAGGTCTCAGCCCTGGTCCCTGGTCACGAAATCGGAAAGTCTTCTGAGCGTGGGCCTCTCTTGCCTCGTCCCTGGGTTTCAAAGAGCAGAGCATCTTGGCAAGTTCTGTGGTGACCGCATCGGCGCAGTGGGTAAGGAGGCCCGTGCCGCTGCCTGTATACGTAGGGCCACTTGGGGGCTGGCCCTGCGGGAAGACATGAAGTGGGGGGGAGGCTCTTCAATCGGCTGCCTGATGCTTGGCTTGCCGCGCCATGTTGTACCTGAAGGAGCTTGCAGGGTCAGCGGAACTTGCTGATCCCAGGTCCGCACGGGAGCCGAGGATCTTACAGGTGCACGGAAACGCGCAAACTATACAGAAAGACAAGCGCGCATGAGATAGAGAGGGCCGTATTCGCGGGTAGTAACAGCACAACCTCTACAATCTCGATGCAGACTGTCCCAACTTTTGCTAAAAGGCTGCAAGTGTTAAGCGAGTGCGAGATTGTAGAGGGTTCAGCACGCTACGAAAGTTGCTGGAATTGAAACCCTTTGATTCCATTCAGGCTGGAGGTTCCGGTTTGCTGTAAGCTTTCAGGAGAACGACACGTCGGACAAAGCTTTTGAAGAGCTCATGCCGGCCCGACTGTTTGCAAAATCTCAACACACAGCTCAATGGCAATCCCGCTCACTGAAACTTTAATGCACAGCTCTTCACCATAAGTCTGAGCTTGCTAACTCACTGTAAGGGCTGATCATGCAATCTTCTTGGAGCGGCTATGATGAAAGCTTTCACCAGTCTTATCAGTATCATCATCGATGACGGCTTCATCTGAACCTCCACAAGACAACTGGAACGCAGAGAATTCAGAGCATAGTCTCCGGCACTGCACTGTGCTGTACTGTATCATATAATCATTAAAACTGTATACTGCCATGCCAGAAAAATTTGAACGATAATAACATGATCCATGTTGAAACTCAACAGCGCTTCCGAACAGAAACTTGGAAGCCCATGTCTACCACACAGTGGAAGTGTATCCTTTCCCACCCACACATGTTTTCTCCCCGAGGTCCTTTCTTTAGGTCGTATTTGATAAGGGCCCTGAAGCTGGAGTTCTCCGTCATGATAACGACCTTGTACACAGTCGAAACTAGGGGACAAGCAACATATCGGAGTTACGCAATAATCCCCCCATACGGGTGAACCCCATACAGACCCTTACGAGACCTCTTCTTCCGGCACTTCTCTGGTTGAGAAACCACCATCTGGAAATGTCTCGCAGATCTTGGCCAGGTCTAGCGAAGGCGCGCGCTGCAGTGTTCAATGATTGTTCATCTGACTTTCAGGATGTGTGAGCCTTGCGGTTCGTGTTTGTGTTTGGCTGTTTTTCGGATTGGAAGTTCAGGGTTAAGGCCTTAGCACGGGGTTTTGAGGGCTTAAGGTGAAGTGAACATGGGTCCATCCGCTCGTCTGTGCTATGTCTTTATCATCCACCCCGCCAGTCACAAATCTGAGGACCATACAATGGCCAGGAGCGTGGCACTTGCAACGTGCAGCTGCAAGCACACCCAGGACAAATGGCAACAGACCGCAAGCTTAATCGCCTTGCGAAAACAGTACCCGTCCCAGCAAACTCCCTTTCCAATGCCCGTCCGCTCAAAACTCGGAGGCTGGCGAAATTGCCCCGTGTGCCAGGCTCGGGCTCTGGATGGCACTGATACATATACAAAAGCACATACACATACACATGTGTGTACATGTTTATGTAGGTACATATAGATAGATATATATATATATATATGCATACATACATAGATATGTATAATGCGCATGTAGATACAGATCATAGCACCACGACTAACAAAATATGTAAAACAGTATCAATAAGAATAGGAATAATAGCAATAATATCAAGAATAACAATCGTAATCTAGGAATAGCAATAATACTGGTAACGATTGGAATGATAGTAGTAATGACTGGAAGAATAGTAGTAGTACTAACAATCATAACAATAACAATGGTTTTGGCAGTTATAACATTAATACGAATGACGATAACAGCCATGCAAAATATATACATGTATGTCTATATATATATATGTTTGTTTATGTATATACACATATGATAGTGAATATCTACTGTTTGTTAAAATCTGATACGTACAAAAGTGATACGTACAAAAGTCAACATATAATGTTCAATACCAAAAAGCATATCATGTAATATATCCTATATTAGACTATCATATAACAAAATTAGGTTAAGAACCACCAAAACACAGCGGACGACTTGTAGCTGTTGACCCAAAATTATGAGCGAGTATATTATTATATTATAAAATCTGAATACAATACAGCCAAAATACAATACACTATAATTCAATCAGATATAGTATACGATACTATACCATACATACACACACAAGCGCACACAGACAGACCTATGCCTATACAGATACAGATACATACTTATATATATATATACATATATACATAGATAGGTACATACATATACATATACACACATATACAGTCAGGGTGGGCCTGAACCCCAAAAGCCAACTTTCCGCAGACTTGCTCGAAGGCCCCGTGCTCTCGGGCGAGTGGCTGCAACTACATGCGCCCACCTCTGCTGTTTGATGGTTGTGATTCTGGTTGTATAGGTGCAAGGATGGCCGTGAGTAGCATGACTGGGATGACCAAATTCTGAAGCCTGGAGAGTATGCTCGGTTTCTATGATGACTAGGTTTCCACAGTGGCTGTTACTGCGATTTAGCCACCAGCCACCATGTGACCGCAAGTTTATGTGTCGATTGCCTTTAGCTCAATCGGCTGAATTGTCCGGGCTACCCCTTTTCCCAAATTGTGTCGTCGGTCAGGATGAATGTGATTGGGACTGAGGCTATCATGTGCCCTGCTCCTTTGTTCATATCCTCGTAAAGTATAAAGGAGAGAATCTCATGAAGACACCCGGCTGCCAAAGCTTGCAGTCAACTGGCAAATCTGGGCGCCTAGCATTGGTTGTTAATCATGATTCTCTCGAAAGAGCCTATGCTGCTAGAACAGCTTGCTAGTAGCGTCAGTATCATCATCCGTACCGCTATTGATACTAGCATCGAAGTCGATACATCATGTACCATGGTGCATGTCAAAAGCGCAGACCAATAGACATGGCAGATGTCAAGAATGTATCCCATCAAGACTCGAACGAGAAGCAGCCTGAGAGGCTCTGTGGCTCTCACGGAGCTCGGGTTTGCCTTTTGGGCCCTTTTGGCGGGGTCTGAGGGTTGGGCCAATTGGGGGCCTAGTGTTCAGGGCCGGGTTTGCTAAGACCCAAAGACTTCTCAGAGTCGAGATGACATCCCCATCTCACCTTCGTGTCCCGTCAAGTCCACAGCCCCTACACTTTTTCAGCCCTCCAAGGACCTGTGGTTCCATGGCCTGCCGTGGCGACCCGAGCATACCGGGGGCTCTGAGGAAGCTTATCGCTTCATTCAGCTTCCTCTCAGATGTTCAAGAAGCGGTGTACAACGCCTGCATCCGTGAATATACTTGCCACGCTTGTGTACGAAGATAAACACATAGCACCTGTGTCACAGGCACACACGCACACACACTGACACATACATACATACATACATATATATATATATATAGATATATATATATACATATATACATATATACATATATACATATACTTATATAGTGCATAATGCTGTGCATGTATATATATATATATACACACAGATGCTCCCGTGGACAAGTAGAGGCAAGTTTGGCTGACATACCTCACTGGCTGTAGAGCTGCAACTTAGCCCTAGGCAGAGGGAAGAGGAATGCCTTGATAATAAGCCTGTGAAGTAGACCAGCACAAGGTCAAATCTTGCTCTCTGCTTCCCGCATGACAGATCGTAACCAAGAGACCTTCGAGCCAGTGGCAGCCTTCGAGGTTCCACAAAGAACCGGCAGTCTTCAAAAAAGCGAAGGAAAGTCAGGTACCATAGTCGAGAACAAAGGTAGATAGCAAAGTCTTTCTTTTGCTGCTCAAGATGTTTGTCTCAACGAGAACCCGCGAGGACAAGACGATCCTCTACGACTATATTCGGCAACCCTCAGGAATTCTACTACTGTTTTGCCGACTCCTATGTTACACTCCGAGGGCCCAAGCCCAGCGGCAAAGGGCTGTTCAAGTGTGCGAACTTTAGTTTTGCTGTTTGTCAAAAGCTGCGGACAGTCGAGGCAATGCTGGAGGAACGAACTTCTGCTATGTTTGCGGAGTCCGGCCCTCAGCTGGGCTCTCTCCGCAGTCGTGACCTGGAGATGTGGACCAATCATTTTTCGATTGCTAGCAAGTCTTGTTATACGAGGTTAGGGTGCTAGATTGCTGCTGCAGTATGCCAGTTTGGACCTTCCAGACCAAAGGCGGGAGTGACAGCTGTGGTTTCAGCCGTGTTGTGGGAGAAGAACAAGATTCACAACAACTGTTGCTGCTTACACTGGCATTGCGTTACTATCATCACCAGCACTACTACGGCTACCTGCGCTACCTGTGAATTGCAGCATTGCAACACCTCGCAGAAGCGACCTGCTCTCTGCACGAAGAGGGACACTGCAGGATGACGAGTCTCACGCACTCACGCTTACTCACGAAGCTGTCTCGCTTAGCAACGCTGACGCAAGTTGCAGCAGCTGGTGAGAGTGAACTTTGCACGAGGCGACCAAGCAGGATGGATTGTTGATACTGGCAGCGTGGCCGACCCTACGTAGCTATGGGGCTGGTTTCCAGCCAGCTCTAGAAGTAGACCATACATCAGAACACGGTTCCGAGAATCACCTGGCGCCATGACATGGATGCCGTGAGACCTCCACACCAATGTCATATTCTAAGGCATTTCTCCCGAAGCCCATAACCCGATAACCTCAAACTCTACATAAAGGATCATGGGACTTAGTAACTAGGGTTGTAATTAGGGTAACTATACTTATAACTAATTATAACCATTAAGATACTTATAACCTTACTTACTAAGTCCCATGACCCTCCAAGTACATCTGACACTCTTAACCCTGGACTTCCGAGGAGAAGTTGATGCTGGCCACTGAGCTGCGGCCTCGGACACAACTGAAGTCTGCATACTGGGGTCGTTGAGAGCTTTCTGTTTTGGGATTGACCGGCAGCAGACCCAAGATCGTTTACCGAACACGGACATGATGTGCACTGGTATTTCGGCACCCCAGCTTGGATTCTGTTGACCCTGATGTGTGATAGACTGCATGTGGTAGAGGGGTCTTGCCATTGTTTGCCGGAATGGGCGTACAAACAAGGGCAGATGCAGCGACTTTCGAGAACCTGCCTCCACACTCTGTCCAGGTTCTAGGAGCGAGCTTTCGCTGTAGATTCGATAGACTTGCCAGCATAGGCTCAACCAATGTAGGCGACAGCCATGAGAGACTCAGCATGGAACATGAGAGGCACTTTACCCACTTTCCTGACGGCATGTTCAGCGACTACTGCCTGAACAAGCGCAAGGCATCCATGTCACAGCTGCTGCAAGAATTCACTCGCCTTCCAATTGCCGCACCTAGGCCTCGGAGCATGTGGTGACACACGTCGTCTGCTTTATGAACATAGTTTCCACGAAATTTATGCACCAACTGTCGGTTCTGGTGCCTAACACCCTGGCCTCTTGACCTTCTCCAGCATGCACTAACGCGAGCCTCCGACTTGTGTTGGCGGGGTTCCTGGTGCTGAAAGACTTGAGATGCGCCGCAGGGAAGTTGGACGTCTGGACCATGGAAGACGATCAACCCCACGCTCGATTCTACTGCACATCATGTCTTTGCCCTCAATACCCCAACATGCCAAGATCGATCCCTTCTCCAATAAACTGGTAGCTTCCTTCTTGAGGCAGTAAGAGCTTTGAAGCCAATCATTGGAACAGATGTGTGTCACTTTACATGCTAAAATTTCAGCACAGCTTTGCCCTGACGTTCAGGACCCCAGCGAGAAGCAGTACGATGTGTTCCTGGACCTTTATCGGAAGGGCTTCTGGGGGTCCGGAGCCGCAGAGGGTCCAAGACAGATGATAGATGAAAACACAGTTCGTGGATGTGCAACTTGTCTGCTTACTTAGCTACATATGTATGTGAAGGCGGATACATTAACCCATGTATTCATTTATGCACTTCTAGTTACAAACCTCAACTTACCACGAGAGAATTCATGGGGTTTGATGAGTTATGCATATGCTGCAGTTGTTGACATGCCGGTCCGTGTCTTCCTTCATGCAAAGCTCCTGCACGCCCGCAGCAACAAGGAGCATGCCCGTGCACAGTTCCGGGACCGACGAGAACGTTGTGCCATCACCAAAGACCTTGACAACCCCCGAATCAGATCTCCCAATCCTTGTATGCATGGAGTTTGGAGAATCAGGCTGTTGGTCAATATGTTTTTATACTGTCATCAGCCGAAAGATATATGGAGAGTACAGCCAGAAAGCAATAGTCGAAAGCACCTCCATGTGGTTCGAAAGGTGGATCAGAGGCTTTGGCGAAACCCAATCCGACCGGGCGGTTGTGGAAACCTAGCCGGAGAGGCCTGAGTTTGGGACCGTTTCCAAACAAGTAGGTAGTCTTTTTGGGGAGTGTGGAAGCCATCAGAAGCCGTCATATCATGTCCCTGCGACACCCATAGAGATGCAGTATAACAAGCCCCCAAAACCTTCACCAAATACGTAGATCCTGTTGGGTTTCAAGTGGAAATCCGACGACGATTGCTCAATTCTGGCCATTACCGGTCACAGCATGTCTGCGAAAGTAAATTTGCACTTGCGTGAAACATTCCGCTTCGGGATCAGGCGGTACTGTTCTTGCTGGTCTTCTTGTCTATAGGCCTCAATGGCACGCCATCACAACCACTACAATCACCCCGCATGCCTGAACACACTCACTTGTGGTGATGGCTGCGCATCCAGCGCGAGTAGTTCATATTCTCCATCAGCAGGCACGTTTGCGGTAGTTTCATGTTCAATTGCCCGTGTCCAAACCTGCGTGATTGACAGACCTCCGCTTCCTGGAACAGCTGGCCTGCTGTGCGAAAAGTTGTCCTGAGACCGGTGCGAAGTGTGAGCCGTCGAGCACGAGCTTCTTGACAGCGGGGACTCTGCTGGTCCCAGGATAAACCGAGCCGTCAGTACCACGGTACCATGCATTGGGTCGCATAAACGGAAGTCAAGTTTCCGTGGTTCGTTGCATGGGTCGTACAACCGAGTGTTTGTCGCTTGGACAGGTACCCAAGTACGAAAAAACAAGGATGCATCACACTACAAGTTTCGGAAGGTCTTATAGACTGTCATGTGACATCGTTGTCAAAGTGCAGTACAAAAGGTTTTCATGCCCGATGTGTCAGCACCGGGAATTACGGGGACCTTGAGCATCACGTTGTCAAAAAGAAGCCTTGCGCTTGCTTTCGCAGGGTCTGCACCGGGTGGACAAGGCGAATTCAAAAGTCTCTGTATTGTAGGGGCCCACACGAGTGTGTCCGTTTCTTGCTTCCCACAGTCTTCAAACAGGATGTAAACCTTTAAGCTCTCAACCCTAAAGCCAACTGGACCTTACACTTCTCAATTCTCATGTGGGCACCCGTCGTAGTAGTCAGTCGCCTCCGTGAAGGCGGAAGGCGTCAGAACCGGTGTTTTTGGGGTTTGGGAGTTTACGAAAATGAGGGGTGCCTTATTTTGCGCTCCTTATAATCAGGATCCTATTATTTAGGGTGCTATGTTAGGATCCCCCCCTATTTTCGGAAGCTCCCATTGAGGGTTGAAGATTCAGTGGATTTCAAAGAGCCTGAGTGAAGACACTACGGCTTCCGGGATTGAGTCTATAGAGGGTTCACGATGGAGCAGTCAGGCACCTGCCTCCTTGGGCAAAGTCACGCGAAGCGTGTGCTTCTATGTGGCAGTGTAGCAGAGCGAACTCAGGCTTAAGTGACGGATAGGGGTCGAGGGTCTGGGAGTTACGACTGTAGGGTTTCAGGTTTGGGGAACAGTACTGCGTGAAAATATCCTTCAGCTTAGTAGGTCGAGAATATCTTTGATTTTGTATGATACGTGCCGTAATAGAACATGCACTCTGGTGCACCTCGGGCATGAAGAACCTTGAAAAGTCGCTGCTAGGGAAAGGCCACCGACCGATGGCCCATTGCGATGAGGATCTCATTGCGTTTTGGGGTTTATGTCGAGGGTGTCTTCGGGTCACCAGAGCACAGAATCACTTAAGCTCAGAGCTTCTGCCTGTTTGCAAAACCTGCGTGGTGCTTTGGGTGGCTGTCGGAATCATGCTACACTTCAAGATCCAACCCAAAATCTTGCTACTGTCTTGAAAAGACGGGTCCATCCGATTCAAGGCTTCCGTCTCGAAGAAGACACCAGAATCCCGCACTTGTGACAGCTGCCCGAAGCAGAGTCTGGGAACCCAGCACTCACCACAACACCGAAGCAAAGGATGTCCTTAGGTAGAAGTGTTGGGAGCAAGCTGCAGACAGTTTCGTCAACAGAATGTGAGGGCAAATGTCCAAAGCGGTAAAAGAGGGAATGTGACTACTATTGGTGTTCGCGCCTAAGGAGCTGCAGGTGTTGACCCTAGACAGACATGCAACAAGAAATTGGCGAGCATGGTCTGGTATGCAGCGCATTTTTCATAGACGAGAGATGCTTCTCCAGCTCCCGCGCTGAATCCCTCAGACAGAAAGCCAGCTGAACTCTGGTTTCAAGAAGATAGCCGTTGGGCAACAGATCACGAAGAAGTCGGTTCGACTACATACCTGAGCTTCAGCAAAACCAGACGAAACCTCAGTTTCCTAGTGCACACCGTGCTTTAAGATCGGCATCATCATGATGATTTCGCCGGCTTCAGGCTCAGGGCTTTGTTTTCGTTGAGTAGGATTTTGGGGTGCGGGGTTCACAATTTATTTTGCAGGTTCGTGTCTTGTAAAGTTCCTGATCTGTAGATCACCCGACACTTGTGCATGTCACTTCTCTGCACTCGTTTTCCGTCCAGGGTCAAAGGCCATGGCTGAGAGGGCTGAGATGCGCGGCCACAGACAGAATGAGAAAAGGGCAGCCCACTTTGGGAGACCCAGCAAAACACAGATCTTATCGCCCAAAACCACAGATGTGCAAGGTTTCATTCCGAAGCCAAAGTCGAAAGATGAAACTGAGCAAAACAGGCTTTCAGGTCCTCAGCTCAATCCACGGCAGCACACTTCCCTCCATGCGATACGGCGCTGTGCAAAAACCTAAAAACCTAAAGAAGTCTGCAGAGGGCCCACCAAAACAAAAACTCTCCAGAATCGTGGATTCTTGTTCAGGGGTTCTATTTTAAGGTACCATGATTATACGGAAACCCGAATTTACTACACATCCCTTTTTAAAGGTGACTTAAACTAGATCAAATTCCTTAGCAAGAACGAAGAGCCCTCCGAAGCTGCCGGAGCCTTCGCAGTCTTCATCCGCGCCCCGGCCATCCTCCGCACCGGCGAGGGCGTCCGCGAGCTCGCAAGAGCTCCTCGCAGGAAAGGGAAAAATAGGGGGACCCTACTACAGCACCCCAAATAGTAGGGTCCTGATTTTGAGGACCACAAAATAAGGTACCCTTAATTTTCGCAAACTCCCACATGGAGTTCGAAACCTGGGACCTGCCTGCGACCTAGCGTTCATACCTGGATGTTTTGTCGCAAAGTCTCAGCTAGACCTGCAGGCAGTAGGAGGGATTTTTAGGTGCTGGGCCAGCCGACCAACAGACAGTCCGCAGGCCAACGGAGACACGGTTCTCTCTTTGTGGCTAAACCTGCACCTATGCAAATGCAAATGCAAATACGTTTGCACGGACAACATACATATACGCGCACAGAGACACACACACACACACACATGACTACACATGCATGCATGCATGCATGCGCATATGCATGTACTGTTCGTACACACTGATTAGATAGGTAGGTAGATAGATGGATGGACAGATGCATAGATAGCTGCTTTCGTTGTATGTGGTGGCAGGCTTGATAGACATGATTATGGCGAGTAGATGGCGGAGGCGTTTGAAGAACAGTCTTGCAGTGATCAAGGGTTTGGAGTATGCCGTCCGGATTGTTGTTGTTCGCATGCGTACATTGCTGCGAAAAGACAGTATGTCACTGGCAGATGGAATTTATTTGTGCTTCATGGTGCAAGAGCACCCGTGTTCTAAACCAAACAAACTGACGCTGAGAGCTTTTCGAAGGTCCATGTTTATGGTTCTGTATCACCCTGCCGAATTTAGCTTTGTTTGCTCGCATCTGTGTCACGCCGGAATGTGATGGTGCCCAGGTGTCGCATCCCACTGCTACCGGCTTGGATCTGAGAGTGCTCTACAAGTAGCAGCGAGGAGGAGTGAAGCTGAAAGAGGCCGTGGACGCCCAAATCCTGTTTGGCTTCATTTGCTGATCTGAGGAGACAGGAAGGGTGTCATCGTCGCGGCGGAATCCGAGCTTTTGACTCGGCGGCGTTCAGCATTTAGGGATTCGATCCTCGTGGGTGGTTTTGATAGTTTGCTATTGCGTCGAAC